TCGTAAATCCCAGCTAAAAAGGTGCATTATAATGATTTAGTATTAGAATAAGCACTCAGAAAGCATTTTTAATCCAAGCCAAACGAAATCCCCTTCCCATGAGTCATAGAATTCATATAATTACTGGCCAGTATAAATGAACCCATATTGCAAGTAGAGAACATAGTTGAATAATATGCGGAAAAAATGTGAGTATAAAATTTTAGATAAGTACATTTTTAAAGTAACTCGCAAAAAGTAAATAATTCCGAAAATCATAGAAAAGGCATCCATATTCAAAAGTTAAATATAAAGCTATCACAGAAAAATACCTAAGATGAGAGAGACCCGTTAGGAAATGCACCAGCATAAATGATGGTGAGTTGTAAATAAATACCAGACGACTAATAAAAAACAAGAAATGGGATTCACTATTCTCGTTCGGTAGGAACAATAAATGATTGATATGTCAAAAATAAATCAGAATTTGGCCTTAGTATAAGTTTGTAGACAAAGCACTAGAGGTAGACAGGCAACATTGATGATTTAAGATATGACAACTTCGTGGTTGATCGAGTTTAGCTCGCTCGTTTCTACCCAGTTGATGACTTCGCCTTGTGCAGTAATCTCAAGACGAGCTAGAACATAAGTTTTGAGCTTGCAAAACTCTCGCTGTAGCGTAACTTCAGCCCGAATTTTCGCAGCCAAGATTGCGGCTCCATAAGCAGCAGTGTCGCTGAGGCGGGTCAGTTGCAGACGATAGGAACGCCTATCTGAATCATAAATGGGACGAAGACCAGAACGAAGACCTGCAACCAAAATACGAATATTTAAAATTGACAAGCAACTGGTTTATAGAGTAACTAAGTAGAAAAATATCATAATCTAACAAATATATAACATATTGAGTAAAAAGGGCGAGTTATGGTTTAAAAAAGGATTTATGAGCAGCATGAATTTAACGGCAAAATACAAAAATGTTGACCTCTGAATTCCAATGCAAATCTGAATTAAAAACTTTGTCTTAGAAAGTTAAATATGAGAGCTACGATGTATATTCTGGAATAAAATCATCAGTCAACGTTTTTGACTATACACTTAGGAAAATTTATTAGAAGCCATCAACACGCAAATGTGACCGGCTTTTTATCTTTTTATTTTGTGGAATCACTAGTCATGGCACTAGCCTATGATGAATGCAGTTAACTGTAATCACTAGTTGCAGATTTTATTTTATTATAGTATTAATGTAATCTGTTTCACGCATTAAAAGCTTAGTGATTAGGCCATATTAGGATTTCAGCATCAAAAGATAGCCTGAGCAATGTGGACAAGCATATAGAATCAAGTTTTTAAATAACTTTTTTTATGCTAACATCCGTTGTGTAGCCTAGTTCTATTTTTATTTCTGCACCACCGAAAAGTGAATGCAAGTTTTAGGGATGGCAGATTGCATACTAAGCTGATCAATGCAAATATATGTCTATTTAATCATAAAATATGAGTCTTTTCAATCTGCTAGGGACGTTAGGCCCTTAGATTTTGTGACCTTAAGAGACATTGCTATTCTAATAGGATTAATTAGATTATCTGCAGACCTCCACTAAGAAGTTAAGATAAACTTATGATATGCAAAGGAATAAGTTATTAAAGTTTATAGATATTAAGTAAAAGTTCCAGCATGGTCTGTCCAGAATTCTGACAATAGAAGGCTTTCAAAAACTTCAAAGTATGGCCGACAAGATATCATGTAGGATCTCTTACTCAATGACAGAGACATGAGAAAAAATTGCTTGGAATTGAGATTATAGGAGAGCATAGGCTAAAACCAGGGCACCAAATTGACGTGGTTTCCGTGGTGACAACTAATGTTTAGTACGACGATCGGAATAGTGGTTAAGTTATCCCAGAATACTGTTGATTCTGAAACAACCACGATCCTAAAGAAAGGGCTGAATTTTTCTTTTCAAAACGACAGAAACGTTCTAGAAGACATCCTTGTAGAGGTCATCAATATTTACAAGTTTCCTGAGAAGAGAAAACATGAAATGGAGAATGAAATATTACCAAGAAGCTTGATATATCAGGAACCAACAAACAAGAACAGATTAGTGTAGATAAGCAGAACCTTAAAAAATAAATAGTTAGTCCTTCAGATAGATAAAGGAGAAGCAACAGTGATAATTGACAGGAAACAATAGAAAGAGAAAATGGAAGCAATACAAAAGAGAACCAAGTATCGTGTACTAAAGAGGGACCCAACTATGAAGATCAATGGAAAATAACCTAGCATGCTGTGATATGCATAGTAACACTGAGATCGACGGATGTACCATAACATCACTAATAGAAAAGGATGCATGAGCATAAACAGCCTACGGATGACCGAAAATAGAAAAAAGGGGAACTACTAAGAGTGAGTCGACAAAGAGCATGGAGCAAAAGAGAAATTTGCACGGCTCATGTTTAAAAGTTAAAAAGTTAATCGATAGGCTATAAAACATAGTGAAAAATACAAATGAACTTTCCCAAAGGATAAAAAACAAGTATTAGTAAAGTTCGATGTACAATCTGTGTATATATATATCTGTTGATAAAATGCGCT